TTAAAAAATATTAAAATTTTAAATATGAACTTGTGAATTGTTGTTAAATTCTTGTGATTTAAAAATAAAAAGTTATGAATTTTAAAATAAAGCTTGTGAATGATAATTAATATTTAAATTAAGAATAATTTAATCATTTACATTAATTTTTTAGTGATATAAAAGCATCTAAAAATTTATAATATTTTGAGAGATTAAAATATTATTTACATTTAAAAAGATGTTAGCAAGGTTGTTAAACTCACAAGTTTAAGTAAACTTGTGAAAGGAATATAAACTCGTATTGCAAACTCAGATCATAAACTCGTAAGAGTTTACATTTATTAACAAATAACCACTAAAATATGATTGTAATTTAATTTAAATATATTAATAATTGAAATTGACCTCATCTACATTGATAAATTATCATATACAAGATATAAAAATTTTAAAATAGGAAAGCTTATTTTTTATTTTTGTTTTTTTATTAATATTAGTTTTTGCATTTTAAGTTTTTTTTTCTTTAAATCAAGTCTTATAACATTTATAAACTAAATTTTTCATAGTATATATTTAATTTGCTCAATTTAAAAAAATGACGAGCTTAATAAGTTTAACTATGTTTGCATTTAGTATGAGTTTATAAATTCGTTGACATAATTTTATAAGTTAAAAATGATAACCTTAAAGGTAAACTTGTGAGTTCAATTAAATTTGTATTTAATTCGCGTTTATGAGTAAGTTAACATAATTTTTTAAATTAAAAATATAAAAATATTAAATTTGTAAAATTAATTTGAGAGTTTGATAATTATGGGTGTTAGTGTCATATTTTTCATTATAAAAGCACCCGACGATTGGCTGGCATCAGATATCCTTTCCCTCTCCCCCTACAATTATATCCAAGCACTAGCAATGGCACATACGAAGATATATTTCCACATGCCACGACCATGCCAATCATGTAGTTAATTACTGTTATCGACTCTGCTATCTCTGCCTTTTCCCTTCATGGCTTCTCTGCCTTCTTCAGTTGCTATTACTGAAACCCCGAAGCGTGAACCCGATATCAGAAAATCTCCTGCAAGTTCCCTTCCCGGCGAAAAGGTTATTTATCATCTCCCCCTCATTTTCTCGTACCTCTCTTGATGAAAATTTCTATATACTTGCGCTGGATGTTCAGTGTGTCATGTATACAATTTGATTATATTTGAAATCATATATGATCACCGCGACTCTTGAATACTCATTCTTTTTTTTTTTTGGGTGAAAGTCGCGACTACTTACATCATCAGCTGCAATTCTGTATTTATATCCGTTTCTTTACGTCGAATCGCAAACTTGATAATAAGCTGCAATTTATACCTACAGAATCCAAGCATTTCTTTCCAGAAAAGTCACCGATTTACGCATTTAGATGGAAGTTTAGATAAAAGGTATCTGGACTTCCGAGAAGCACTTTCGGCGATAGAAGAGGGCAGAACGGTGGAGACATCTTTCTACGCTCCCTTGTTGCAACAATGTCTGGATACGGGTTCTATTTCAGATGCACAAATTGTTCATGGCCACATCGTAAAAACGGGTACCCATGAAGATGTATTTGTCATGGCGTTTCTCGTCAATGTTTATGCTAAATGTAAAAACATAGAGAGTGCTCGCAAGGTATTTGACAATATGCCCAGAAGAAATGTTATTTCATGGACCACATTAATGGTGGGTTATGTGCAGAATTCGGAGCCAGAGAATGCCATTCGAGTGTTCCGAGAAATGCTGGGTGCGGGATCTTATCCTTCGAATTACTCTCTTGCTATAGCTCTCAATGCATGCACGTGCTTGAACTCTGTGAAGTTAGGGGATCAGTTTCATGCTTTCATAATCAAATATCATGTCGACTCTGACACAAGCATTGGCAATGCCCTCTGTAGCTTATACTCCAAATGTGGCAGATTGGATTATGCTTTAAGAGCATTTAAAAGAATCAAGGAACAAAATGTTATTTCATGGACTGCAGCTATTTCTGCCTGTGGTGACAATGGGAAAGCTACAATGGGTTTAAACATTTTTTCTGAGATGCTTTCTGAGAATATACAGCCTAATGAATTTACTTTAGCTTGTGTGTTGGGCCTATGTTGTGAAATTCTCTCCATAGAACAGGGGACGCAAATTCATTCACTTTGTACTAAACTTGGTTATGATTCAAACTTACGCATCAGGAATTCTTTAACGTATCTATATCTCAAATGTGGTTGGATTGACGAGGCTCGGAGGCTATTTAATAGAATGGAAAGGGTCAGTTTGGTTACATGGAATGCGATGATTGCTGGACATTCACAAATGATGGAACTCGCCAAGGATGATTTTTCGACATACCGGAGTGGAACTGAAGCGCTTAATCTTTTCTTGAAGTTAAATCGATCAGGCATGAAACCTGATCTATTTACCTTTTCAAGTGTCTTGAGTGTTTGTAGTAGATTGGTGGCTTCGGAACAGGGGGAACAAATTCATGCTCAGGCCATCAAAACTGGGTTCTTGTCTGATGTGGTGGTGGGTACTTCACTAATTAACATGTACAATAAATGCGGAAGCATTGAGAGGGCAAGCAAAGCATTTCTAGAGATGTCTACTAGAACCATGATATCATGGACATCCATGATTACAGGTTATTCACAGCATGGTAGGTCTCAGCAAGCACTGGATCTTTTCGAGGATATGATATTAGCTGGAGTGAGACCAAACGAGATCACTTTTGTGGGTATTCTATCAGCGTGTAGCCATGCTGGCTTGGTCAATGAAGCACTCAGATACTTTGAGATTATGCAGAAAGAATATAAAATAAAACCGGTGATGGACCATTATGGTTGTTTGATTGACATGTTTGTGAGGTTGGGTCGGCTAGAGGAAGCTTTCAAATTCATTAAGAAAATGGGTTTTGAGCCCAGCGAGTTTATTTGGTCTAACTTGATTGCAGGTTGTCGAAGCCATGGAAATTTAGAGTTGGCGTTTTACGCTGCTGAACAATTACTTAATCTCAGGCCGAAAGATACTGAGACATACGTTTTATTGTTGAACATGTACATCTCTGCTGGGCGATACAAGGATGTTTCAAGGGTGAGAAAGATAATGAAAGAAGAGAAAGTTGGTAAATTAAAGGATTTGAGCCGAATTTTTATCAAAGATAAGGTCTATTCGTTTAAGCCTAATGACAAGGGACGTCCTGAGAGTTCAATAGTCTATCAATCACTGGAGGATTTGATTGCCGAAGCCAAAAATCTTGGATACAAGTCATTAGAAAATATGGAGTTTAGCGAGGAAGAGGAAGAGGAAAAGGCATCATCAGTCCCGAGGACACAAGCTTTTTATCATAGTGAGAAGCTGGCCATTGTATTTGGGTTGGAGAACTTGCCAAATTCTTCTCCAGTAAGAATTGTCAAGAGTACAATAATGTGCAGGGATTGTCACAATTTTATTAAGTACGTCTCAAAACTGACTGGCAGAGAAATTGTCATACGAGATAGCAAGCGGCTTCATAAGTTTGTCGATGGGCAATGTTCTTGTGGGGATTTCGGAGGATTTGTCTGATATATCCTCAAAGAACCAGTAATAAATCCCAGAACTGTCTATCAAAAGCTGACCGTCTAAAGCGAGTCGCTTTTTTATACCTGTTGTACTTGTACTTAATAGTAACACATGATTCAATGTTGATAAAGTTTCAACTCTTGCATTAACTTTACATATTTTGTTTTAGTTGACATAGGAGGTCAGTTTGAAAAAGAAATCTTGCATAGTCTAATCAAACACCTGGCTTCTCTCCGCGGCCAAGTAAGGCTCTAAACGAAGAGAAGTTTGAAGTTCAGTTTTTTTTTTTTGGGGGCACACAAAGATATGAAAAATAAACTTGATGGCAAGCATGTAAAAATATCAAGGTTTAAAAAATTGAACTGATTATCTGTCAAGTTATAGTAGCGTTTCATGGATCAGTTGTTAAACTGGGATTGAATCGTGGTCAAACCATTTATAATTAAATTATTGTATTAAAAATTTTATATATTAAATATTATATTATATTATATTATAAATAATAGCTTAAAAATATTATTTTATAAGATTAAATTTATAAAATGAGATTTTATGAATGTTTACTCTATTCTAATGAAATATCATTTTATTAGTGCATGATATTGATAATAAATATTTAAAAGAATTACTATCTATTGATAATGATTAAAAAATTATTGTAAGATAAATGAAATTGAAAGCTGAGGCCAAACTTATTCAGCGTTCATTGATAAACATCAGTTACATACAAAAATGACAATCTATAAGGTATTTTTAGGAGACTTATTAAAACTAAATTTAAAACATAAACTTCATACAAAAATATAGATAAATAATTAGAAGTCTAAAAATTAAGTAATTGTGTTTATATCATAAAAAAAGGATTAAGTAAAATGAATTAATAAGCATTAATGAGAATAAAGAGGACAAAAAGCAGCCTTTATTTATACTTTACATACTCATTATTATTCCTACCCAGGTTCCACATCGAAGAACGTAAGAAGTTGGAGGTACCATTGTCACATAGAAGTCATGGGGTATAAACGGAAAACGTGAGCTAAGTTGCATGCTAGCAAAATTTATAACTTTGGTTCGAACTGTGCAATGAAAAGGAATTTTAATTTTTTATCCTTTTTTTTTCCGATTTCACTATTTGAAATGGTTTAGTTTTTTTCGATTTTTGATCAGGTTTTTTACCGATTTTAAAAAGGCCAATTTTCTGGCATCAGTCAGACCGAACTAGTGATCAGTTCCCAAACCAACAGGTTAAAGCAGCGGCTTCGGTTTTCAAAACTAAGAAAAAAAATAGGAGCTATATTTAGGCATGAACCGAATTCATTTGTTTTTCTTTTTTCTTTTTTGGCCAAAGTATTCATTTGCTTTTATTTCTATTCAAAACCAAGAAAGCAATCCCAACGAAAATTACAGCTGATGGAAGTTCTGCACTTCCATATTCTGATAGCTGAATCTAAGGTAACTTCCAAACATATCAATTGACAATTAACGTATGAAATACTACACGATAAACGATAATGTTATAACTAAAACTGACATGAATAGATGTACAAAAACCAAAGGTATAATGATGTGGATTATGTATAGTATTTTCTTGTCTTCCCTGTTTCTGTGTGCAATTTGGACTTTATATTATTCCACATGACATCGCAAAGCAGGGCGCGGGTTAGAGAAAAGGAAAGCGGTGGAGTTAAAAAGGCAAGCGAGCTTTAACCTGGCTTCACAAGGCCCAAATATTTATATGTCAAACGAGACTTTCCCCCTTCTCTTTTCCAAAGTGTATGAGAGCAAAAGATATCACATGAAGTGAAAGGATCGCCTTCTACTTTTATTGTTGGAGCTCCTCGATTTGCTTTCTTCATAAGGCGGTTTCCAGATGATATCATCAAGATTGCCACAAAAGTTCTTGTAAAACTGCAACACAAAGGAGGCAACTCTAGTCATAAAATTAAAATTCAAGAAACTGGCGGCTGTGGAGGAGAGATCAAACATTAAAGCATTCCTAAACAAAAAAAAAAAAAAAAACTGACCTTGAGGTATTCACCTACGTCTCCAGCTGCTTTTTGAATGTCCACCATGAAGAATGACGGAGCAACTTCAAAAATCTGCAGACAAGAAGAAGAAATGGACTAAATAATTAGCCAAACTGTTAATGATGTGTTCGGCAGTTAGCAGAGGGAAAGAAACTTACTTCCAGGATCACAGAGAAAAAAGTTTTATTTGCTGCAATACCCTCTACTCTCATCTGAAAATTCATGGCAATATGCCTCCGGATTAATAAGAACTTTAAGCAACATTAATCTCTAGTCAAAATATATCTGTGTGACGTTGAAAAAGGAAAAAATAGAATCCAGAGCAACTTCGGCGGCAGGATGAGCCGATGTGGGAGCGGAAAAGTGGTAAAACAATCTACTAAGCATATCACAGGACACGCACCTTATAGTTGCGAATATGTGTTTTGAATCCCATTGATTGAGCCACAACTTCCATGCTTGATAAAACAACCTTCGCTGGCTTTTGAGAGATAAAGCGTGTTTGGTACTTCATGGAATCCTGTAAAGATATTTGGAAAACAAACATTACACCTGAACCCTAGATATGACAAATATTAAGAGCCTCAGACCTTGAGTAAAATTGACAGAGTAACAAGGTATGAAAGCATATTTTATAACAGCCGGCCTGTTTACTTGGTAAAAGATCACAAACTCAACATATGAAGTTCCACCTCATACGATATTTATATGGACTTATAATCTGTCTATTTGAAGGCAATTGGATATTATGATTACTGAACAGTTTGCAGACAAACAAGAATACAGATGATTACCCGTCCACGATCAAAGATTGTTGCAAGATTTAAACCTTGAGATAGAATTATCAAGTCAAATGCATTAAGCATTAATGGACCCCCGACTTCATTCTCACACGGTTGATTGACCCTTTGATCCTTCAATGACAAATCAATCAATGTGTCATCAAAACTGAGAAAGTAATTGCTGTTAAACTCTTTATACTAAGAGCATATGAAGGTAGTCTACTTTACCAAAATAATTTAAGCTATTTGGTTAGATACATCATAAGCTTTATATATTCTTAATCTATCTCTTATCTTCTAGATGTGAGAATTCTTAATTAGATTTCTTTATCTCTAATAATTGCCACCTGGATACACTATCAAAAAGTAATCCAGCCCCTTAATTGGAGAAACCAGGAGAATTCAGCTCAACAAGATGAAGAATTTAAAAGTGATACTGACCTCAGCATCATCAAAAGCTGCATTTATGTCGTCCAGATTGAAATCCTCATACTCGAGAAGACTGACAGGAACATAGTTCTTCTGAAACCACTCATCACTTCTTATCTGTTCGATGGTTATACGCTGCAAATGCACAAGCACACATGCACACAAAAGGGACAGAGAGGAAAGAAGGCTAGTAAAAAACAACCAGAATCTCAATAAATTTTACCAAAAATGTTGAATTCACTCAATAAAGAAGTAACACTATTACAATACATTCATAAACTAAAAACAAGCATAAGAATTTATCCATCTTACATAACAAAATTAGTCTAATAAGGTTAACACTATACATGATGCAAGGTTTAGCCATTCGATTCTTAGTATTAATAACTAATTCAAGGGGCATTATTTTAACATGCCTACTCAAGTGAACAAATGGTAGATAATAAGACTATAACATGCCCCAATAGTACAGGCACCTAAATTACTAGATCTTTTCAATACTAATTATTTTTCTTAGATGCTTTCTGATAATTCTCAGGTTCTAAAGATCCCTTATATAGAGATCATGAATATTGGCCCATAAAATTTTGTTCTGCAAAGCCAAAACTTACAGTTTCAGGATTTGGGTCCAAAATTCTATGTATTAAAGCTTTTGCTCCCACAGGAAACCATGAAGGGCACGAAAACTCTGCATTCTCAATCTGCAAGAGTCAAGACAAGGACCCTATCATTAATAATAATCCAAATTTCATTCTAAAATAAACACAGTCTAAGAAGCTATGTTCACCGTGAGAAACTTCAGGAACTAATCCATCACCTCTAGTTAAGAATTGCACAGAAATAGAAAATATAATAGCGGCGCACACAGCCCTAGGTGATGTATTCCATTTATATAGAGACAATATACAAAACCTAATACAAAAGATTACCAACGAGCATTTCATTCCCAGTCTTTACCCATATTAAGTGTCACTCAAAATGATCCCCTTATAGCAATCCTTTGCAACATGTTGATATAGTGATGTGTAATTACTATAATATATGTAATATTAACATTTGATACGTCATTTTTTTAAATAATACATGCAATATTAAAATTTGATACATCATTAAAAAAAAAAAAAGGCTGATAGATCATGCATGGTTCTTTACACACACACACACACACACACAGGCACGCTCACATGTACGCATGCATAACACCTGGTAGATCAACTTTGTGTGCGTGTGTAGAAATTAATAGCAAATAATTTAGATGTTTAAACCCATGCCTTACTGTATAAGGTACTTAGATCCAGCTCATCAAAAGGAAGATATCCAGCAATTAGAACATAGAGAATAACCCCACAGGACCAAACATCTGCTGCTGCTCCATTGTAACCCTTGTGGCTAAGTACCTGAGGTGAAAATGATGCATGCCAAATAAAAAAGGAAGCAAGGAGTTAGTAACTATCTGCAGCTGACATTGAGTCAAATTCAACCCATCTTTGATCCAACTTTGCATTTACCTCAGGAGCTACATAATTTGGAGTCCCACAAGTTGTCCGAAGAATACTAACCCCCTGTGAATATTCATCAGGTATCAAACCATTTAATATCATTTCATCTGCAAGTTGAAATCAGATTTCAAAGCTATTGATGAAAATCTCACCTGTTCTGGCAATGCACTCAAACCAAAATCTGAAATCTTTATATTTCCTTGGGAATCTAGCAATAAATTTTCAGGCTGCAGAGAGAAAAAATATCATTCAATAGAAAGTCGTAAATAAGGATAACCAGCAGCTTCCCAGGTCCCAGTCCATGCAAACCTTTAAATCTCTGTGATAGACTCCCTTACTGTGGCAATAATCTACACCATCAATAAGTTGTTGGAAGTATCTTCTAGCTTCAGTTTCACTAAGACGGCCTTGTTGTACCTGCACATTCATTTTTGCACAATTATAAAGATCTTAAAGAAATAGTAAATGATAAAAATCAGTAAAGGCTACAATATCACAGGTCCATCTTGAGCTACTCACAATTTTATCAAACAATTCGCCACCTGTAATGAACTCCAATATGATGTAAATCTTAGTACGACTTGCTAGAACCTGACAAAAATCATAATTTACAAAAGAAGGAAGCACTTGTAAGCGATGACAATCAGCAGGAGGAACATCTTAATAATGGATTTCAGAACTAATGTCAAGTCCGCTAAGAAACATAGAAAGAAATTCTATAAAGGGATAATAAAACTTTTAGTCCATCAAAATTGTCTAAATTTTCGATTTGGTCCATTAAATTTAATTTTTGTCAATTTGGTCCCTTGTGTTTTTTTTTTTTAAATTATCACGTGAATCCTTTCAGTTCTAAAATACATACTAACTCTCAAAATAATATAATGTCTAGAGTATATTGATAATTTAGCATGTATATGTAATTAAAAGAGGACAAATTAACTCTCAAATGAGTTCAATTTCTATCAATATAATCCCTTACAATGTGTTTTGCTCTCTTGTTTTTTAAAACTTCAGAGTTTTTATTAATACCTAAATAATTGTACTTATTTTCATTAATCTACAAGACTAACATCATTATCCTGTTATCCAAGTTAGCAAATTTTAACAAGGTAACCTCCTTTTTAAACAATAAAGACCAAATCTATACAACAACAATGACAACAACAACAAGTCTTATCCCACTAGATGGGGTTGGCTACATGAATTATATGACGCCATTGTGCTCGATCAATAAGGACCAAATCGATAATCAAAGTAAACTTAAGGAGACTAAATTGAGGGACCAAATTAATAATGGAGACAGATGTGAGGGACTAAAAGTTACATTACCTCTTTCATAAATTTAATATCACTTGTATTGACCTGAAAACCTTTCTAAAAAAAAATTCTATATACCATATGTCATTCTTCATTGCTAACCATGATTTGGCGAACAAACTACTTATTTCAAAACAAAACCCAAGCAGGACTTAGTGGCCATCATAAAAAGATGAGTTGCACAGAAAACATCACATACCTCATGCAGACGAACAACGTATGGATGCCGAACTAGCTTCATAATAGAAATCTCCTTCTTGATCTGCATAATAGAGAAAAATTCAACACAAATGGAAACTAGAGACATCTGCACTCATGACTTCATGACCGTGAAACTTCTTTCATCTTGATAGAAAAAATGCACAACCCAAGGCTGGCCAGGGCCTCTGAGATCATTTTTGGTATTTAACCCTCTTTATTCAGACATTTTGGGTTTTTAGATTTCGTACAGATTATATAAATTTGAATGGTACACAGACACAGGGTTACACTATCAACACCTAAACACTAGTAGGCAGATTGGGGCTCTCCATTCTTTCATTTGAATTCAATTGAATGTTAGAATTCCTTTCTGATGCCAGAGAATAAGACAACGACCTAATTTGACAAATTTCCTCCAATTTGAAGTATTTCGTAACTCCAAAAGGTGTGAGTAAAAAAGCTTTACCGACTTTCATAAACAACCAATTCTGGCCTTACCTTGATTGTAGATGTTTTTATTAAAACAAAAACAGAGATCTTCAGATACCCATGTACATTAAGCCTTGGCATGTTAAACTCGCATATTCAACATATCCGTAAATGAACAGCACCTAGATAGCAAACAAAACACCTTCTCGAAGTCACTTATCGGAATTTATAGTGGCTAAAATTCTCACTAATCTTACAATAACTGCATTTAAATTTCTAGTATTTTATCACCGATGAGGATAACAGTCATGGTGTAGTTGTGAAAAGTGCTCGAGACATTCAAGCTTGGTAAGCTTACTGGGTCTATAATTGTCGGTTTAGCAACTCAACTAATTAACTCCTAGTTCTAAAGGATCAACCGGGAAGAAACCGTTTCGCCTACAAAATGAAGAAGCTAGGGAAATCACAGCTTCGATGAAAAGAACCGGAGGAGGAGGAGGAGGGAAATTCAGAGAAATCATTGTATTAGAAATCACCGAAGCGTTCGCATCTACTAAGAAACAAACAAGTCCCGTCTTCGAGGATTACATCGCTTTTGACAACTAAGGTCATGCATTTCATCGACGAGAAGCGTGATTTGAACAAGAAGAGGCCCGATTATGTAACAAACGGATCGCCACGAGCAGGAAAAGTGGGGAATTTTACACTTGCCTGGTCGACCATCTTGTGCTTGATGATGGTGCTACGGTCGAGCACTTTCATAGCGACACTCTCGCCAGTCTCTGTGTTCTGAGCGAACTTCACCTTGGCGAAGGTTCCCTCCCCAATTGTCCTCCCGACTTCGTACTTCCCCACCTTCCTCACCACCATCTCTCTCTCTCTCTCTCTCTCTGCTTTTCTCACTCACAGCCAGGAACTACACTAACTAAAGCTTGTTGCAAATCCAACTTTACTAACAAGCTTCTCAATTCCAATTACTATTTAATTAATCTATCTTCGCTGTTGAGTTGGGTGGGAAGGATTTAGAATTGAAAAATGAAGGCCAGGTTGACAGCTGGGAAGTGGTTCGGTCAGTCGCACAAACGGGAAAGTAACAAGCAGGTAATCTGGGGAACTGACATTGGAATAGGACCAACGACCAAAGATTGGCTGGGCCTGCAATGGAAGTCCCACCCCGGGGGGGGGGGGGGAATAAAGGATACAAATTCATAGCAAATAGGCAACTTTGGGTGAATTTAAAGTTGTTTTTGTTTTACTATTTTAAAAATTAATATTTTATAAAAAATGCTTTGAAAGTAAAAAAAAATAAAGAAATGTTTTTTGTTTTATTATTTTAAAAATTAATATTTTACAAAAAATGTTTTGAAAGTAAAAAAATAATAAAAAAATATTTTTTATTTTTATTTATTCTTTAAAATAATAATTTCAAAACATTTAAACAATATTTTCATTTTTTGATTTTTTAAAATAATTTTTTTATTCTCTCTAAAATATTTTTTTAAAAACATATTATCAAATAATTTTTTTTATATTCTACAAAATAAAAAATTATTCTTAAAACAAGTTATAAACATGCCTTTGTTTTAATTTCTGAGTGTCGGGGTGCTCTATGACTGTGATGTGATGTTAGTATGTCATGCAACTCAAGAAATTAGATGCTTCTTTCAATTCAAAATATAAATATTTTTTTAAAAATCTATAAATCAATAAAGTTTTTATTATAATAAAAATATATATTATTTTTTGTTCTTAATTTCAATTAGAGTGAGAAATAATTTTATATAAGTATCTAGATTAATAAATACAAAAAAATTACAAGCATTAAGTTGTATATATTTTGAATTAAGATTAATTAAAGAAATATTTTCAAACATTAGATTTTGCAATGAAGAATTGCCAAAAGTGAAATTATTCAGACGCTTCCATCGCTGGAATCTGATTTTAATGTACAAATTTTAGCATTCAGATAGGGGCTGTATGGTGTTTGGCTTTTGCCGTTGGCTTGAATGAGATCTTTTTCTTGTTGCCAAAAAAAAAAAAAAAAGATAAGAGGTGAAGCTCAAGAAAGCGCACTGGAATCAGTATTATTACTTCTTCTGAATTGTATATGATTTATTGGTAAACCAATGATATGAAAGATTAACAGCACAAGCATGTAATTAATTTTGAGAAAATAACAATAAAATTCCCCTGAAATATACATAAATGATAATTTAATCTCTCAAAATGTCATAATTTTTTTTAAGTTTTTAAAAACTTTTCTATCATTAATGAATTTATATAAATTATTAAATTACTCTGGTTGAAAATAAATTATTCACAAGTTTTATTTAAATATTTATAATTTTTTTTTGTATTCGCAACAATACAACAGTAAATTATAACTTTACATGTTAAATTTTTTATTTATTATTATATTTTTGCAAATATAAGGTAAAAAGTTGTAAATATTTAAACAAAACTTATGAATTATTTATTTTTAATAAAAATAATTTAATAATTTATATAAATTTATTAATGACAGAAAAGTTTTTAAGATTTTTAAAAAAATTATAATATTTTAAAAGATTAAATTATTACTTATATATTTTTGAGAAATTTTATTATTATTTTTTCGTTAATTTTTACAAAATTCAACAAATTGTAAGCCCATGTTTTATACAGACATTTAAAAAGAACAATGTATTGAAAAATGTGAAAACTTGAATTAGCACTATTTGATGATGACGATGAAATGGCAAGTGGAGCAGTGGCGTGACAATGAGTCGTCGTCAGTTGCGTGTGGAGCTGGGATGGAGACAGATGAAGCGGACGTACCTCATTCACCCTTTTGTATCATTGCCCCAATTTTCCACATCTCATAATCGTAACACAATACAAGCTGGACCAAATCTTCCTTCTTCTTTTTTTTTCATTTGAATAATACTAAAAACATACATTAACAATTAAGGAGCGTTCGACTCATAAAGTTCAACATGCAAGAAGGATCTTTCATCATTTTTCAACCCGTGTAGGAACGTTGGAGGATGATTAAGAATACAAAAATTTTTAAGAAAGGCATGAAAAAACTTGGCCGGCCTATTCACTAGAATATTCTCTTCCCCAACAACATGTGAGAATTTTAGCTTCTAATCTTTGTGGATCAATTTCTTGGTGACAATAATACTGTCGTTGAACAGATGAGTATCATTACACCCTTAAGTTGCCAGATTAGTAGCCTCAATATAGTTTAAAATGATCCGAATATTTTTGTAGTCATCTTTTCAAAAAAGATCAAAACCCTTAAAAAATAACAATAATTTCTACAATGGCTCGTGGAATAGCTAACAATTTACATGTGAAGCCCCTTTTCCACATTCCATTCTCATACCAAATTATGCCATCATAACTAAAGTTATCCTTAGTATTAACAACACCATCCACTTCTAATCTAACATACTCTGTTTTTTTTTTTTCAAGAACTTTCTTCCTACTAATATTATGTCCATAACTCAAAAAAGGGGCATCCCTGATTAAATCAAAGCTAGCGATAGCACGAAAAAAGGATAAAAGAACATCAAAGCTTTGCTTATGGGCATTCTCATCAAAAAGTTTTCTACATCTAGCTACCCAAGTATCCCAACAAACATAATTAAAAAGAATATTGCATGGTAATTTACTAGTAAACACTTTACCAATATCGTGCAACAAATTCCATTTTACTCAATTAGTACCATAAAGGTTGACAGAGGTGCTCTAGTGTTCACTAGCTATAATGGCCTTCCATCATTTATCCTATTTGAGCAATCCCTTAACAAGTGTTTGTCATCTTCAATTGTGTTACAACTAGAAGGACACTCATTTTTTACTTCAAGACCTTTGCTTCTGTGTAGTGTTGTGGTATGTCTTCTTCCACATGAGAATAACCATATGAAGGATTTGATTTTCTTCATAATTAGCCGACACTAGAGTACCTTCCAATGTTATAAGCATTTATTCAGGTACCTATAGTTAGAAAATTATAGGGAGATTTAATAGTGAAAAAATCATCAGTGGAAGATTTCATAAAGTGTTTGTCCTCTTCTCTCCTTACTAGGTAGATAAGCACTAGTCACTTAAGTAACTAAGTTAAGATGGAACCACTATCCTAATCTAATAATTTCCTACTCTCTTATATGATAAACATAATTAGTAACTGATTCATCTCTATCAATCAAAGTATTTATATCAGGTATAAGTTCCATAAGTAGGATATTCATTTTTGACTAGTTCTCAAACTAGAATGAAGTATTTTTATCATTACAAATCTTCTTACCAATTCTTTCTTTAAATTTATCCCATACAGCCCATATGCATTACCAAGTAAGAGAATACTTCCTTTTCTTTGTAATGTGAGGCAAATTCTTTCAACTACAACCATATTTATTTCCTAGGAGCTTGACCCACAAGGCTTATTTATTTGTTGTCAGGTTCCAATAAAGTTTCATGATAAAGGCTTCATTTTGTTTCTCTAAATTCTCGATACCAAGGCCACCTTCTTTCTTATCCTTTAAGATAGTCTCCTAAGATATCAAATGATGTTTCTTCCTTCCTTTACAAATCTCCACAAGAAACTCCTATTAGCTTTTTCAAGTTTCTTGAGGAGTCTCTTTGGGAGAATCATCGTTTGTATATGATAAGAAGAGAGAGCTAATAAAATTGCTTTAATAAGAGTTGTCTTCGTTGCTATGTTCAAGAATTTCCCTTTCCATCTTGATAACCTCTTCCTATTTTTGTCCAAGATTGGTGCAAAAAGAGAGTAGGACACTCTACTATGACATAGGAGAAGGCCAAGGCATTTTCCTAAATTAGTTGTTAAACCAACGTCTTGCCTGTTTAGGTCATAAGCTCTAGAAAAGTGTACCCTTTTTAAGAAGCAAAGTTTTATTTTATCTGTGTTCGTCTTTTAACTTGAAGCTTCACAAAATCTATCAAGACAATTCATTATAAAACCCATTTAATTTGAAGTAGCATCACCAAAAAGAATCAAATCATTAGTAGAAAATAAATGAGATATATCAAGTCCCATATGAGAAATTTTGATTAAGCACCACTCATTGTCCTCAATGGCATCTAGGATTATATGATTAAGTCTCTCCATGTGAAGAGTGAAGATATAAGGAGAAATGGAGTCACCTTGCCTTACACCTCTGGTAGTTTTGAGAGACTCTATAGGTCCACTGTTCCAAAGCACTTGAATTGTCAAGCTACTGATGCAACCCATAATGATATCACACATCTTTGGAGATAAACCTACTTTAGAGAATGTATCCTGATAAAGCTCTATTTCAGTCCATCATTGGCTTTCTAAAGACCCACTTTGACTACCATTACCCTTTTTCTTCTTTTGATGCTTTTCAAAGTATGAATTATTTCCTATGCTATGATTATACTATCTCCACTCCACCTTATAGAAATAAAACTGCACTGGTGTTTACTAACCAGAGTCCCCACTACCAATTTCAATCTTCTACTTAAGATTTAAAAAAAATATATGTAGCTTGTATTACAAAGTGATGTTAGTCTAAAGTCCTTTATGGTTTCAAGGATATCAATTTTTGAAATGAGAACCAAATGAGTGTAATTTATATCCCCAATCTTCCTTGGAGTATCAAACATTTCTTTCACCAAATTGCAGACATCATCTCCAATAATGTGCCAAAATTCATGATAGAAGAAAGCTTGTATTCCATTCGGTCCTTGAGCCTTAAAGCTCCAAGATCAAAAGATGCTGCCTTAATTTCTTCATTATCCACTTCATGATACAGTGAGCTCAATACTTCATTAACAAGAATATGGAAGCTATTTCTTGAAAGGCTATGGATTTAAGATGCAGGGCAACTCACAAATAGATTTTTATGACAATTGACTGCTTCTTTCTTCAACTCCTCTTGATCAAACATCCATTCGCCATCCATTCATGTTTTTCAAGTCTTCAATATGATTTCTTCATCTCCTTGCTTTAGTGTGAGCATGGAAAAATCTACTATTTTTATCACCCCATTTCAACCATTCGCTTCATATTTTTAATACCACATAAGTTCTTCTTGAGAAAGCACTTTATTATACTCATTCCATAATTCTTTCTCAGTTTGGACAACATATTAATTATCTTTCCTCCCTCGAGCTCTTTCAATCCCTTCAATTCTGCTAAGCAAATTTTTCTTTTTTATCCCAAAGTTCCCCACAGAATTATCATTCCAAATGCTAGCATTATATGAAAAGAGCCTTACCTTCTCATTCCAACTTCTTGTCAACCAAGAATTTTTAATGACGTTAGTAAATGCCTCCTCTAAAAGCCAAGTAAAGGAGGGTTTTGTTTTGATTGTTTATTCCAAGAAGTTGTCACATGGAGGGGTCTACGGTCAGAGTTAAATTTTGGTAGATGATAGACAAGGGTTTAGGGAAAGAGATTTTCTCATTCAAAATTCATAGATACCCAGTTAATTTTTTCTTTTGGAGTATTTCTTTTCCAAGTACATTTTTCCCCAGCACTGTCCACCGTTTGTAATAAGGACTTATTTATACACTCAACAAAGTCTTTCATTCATAAGGCACTTGATTGCAACCACCAATTTTATCCTCAATAGAAAAATAAGCATTGAAGTCACCAAGAACTAGCCAAGCATTAATAGTACAAGTACCAAGTCTGTAAATGTCACCCCATAGATCCTTATGTTTGTAAAGATTAGTCTCAACATACACACAAGTAATCTAGCAAAAAGAACTATTACAGATATTCTTAACCTCAACATGTATGAACTCTGTAGATGAGCAATTCTGAAGAATTGTAAATTTATCTTGATTCCATAATAATCACGTGCCATCGTCTAGCTAATAGACGACCAAACCTTCCTATGCAAGGTTATAGTGACCACACAAAAATTACAAGAAAATTAATTAAAAGATTTTAAAAAGAGCAATAATAATTCTTATTTTTAAGCTTAGTCATTGTAAAGCAATGGTTTTTACATTTTTCAGTTTAATCTTTCAACTCTTTTCCCCTAATTGGAAGCAGTTATCTTGCCAAACAACATCAACATTTAAAAAAGCAAAAGAAAGAAGAGAAAATGACAAAAAAAGTCATAAGAGGATCAATTAATTTAAATTAAATCTCAAGTACCAAACTTCAAAAATTTACAAGTCCAGTTCTCAATTTTGTAATTTTATTATCATAAATTTATAACTTATATTTCAAATTTTAATAGAAAAAACAAATTTGTTTATTCAACTATATTAAAATTTGTAAAAATATACTGCAAATTCATTTTAACGAAATTGTAAAATTAAAATATGAACTTATAAATTCTTAAAGTTTGACACTTAAAATCTAATTTAAATTAATTAATCCTCTTGATACGTATACGTCATTCTCTCAGGAAGAAGAAAAAAGAAAGAAAGAAATGAAAGCTAAGGGCTATTTGGCAACTTGTTCTAGAAATGATTTTCTGTTATCCAAAATAAAAAATAAAAAAATCTATTTGATAATATGTTTATAAAAAATGTTTTAAAAAATAAAAAATAAAATATTGTTTGAAAGAATAGAAAAATAAAAATAATTTTAAAATGTTATGAAATTATTGTTTTAAAAAATAAGAGAGAATAAAAAAATATTTTTATTATTTTTTGTTTTTAAAACATGTTATATAAAACATCAATTTTCAAAATAATAAAATAAAAATAATTTTAAACAATCTCTAATTAGTCAACTAGCTAGTAGCTAGGTGGGAAAAAAATAGCTGATTGCTAATGTATGCTCCGTCATGCGAAGAATATTAAAAAAGGACATGGCCTGGAAAGTGCACATGTTTCACCGTTATATTCTTTTAATTCAACCTAGCTAGGTATGGCTTCTTTCTACCATGTATACTTTGAAGGAGATTATAGTTTTTATTGCCAACAAGAGACATTTTGAAAGAGATTAGTTTTCATTATCACTAAAGATCGAAATTCTTAAACAATATTTTAAAATTATGAGATGTGAAAGCATCAATATTATTATTGTTTTTAAAAACATTGTTTTCGAACTGTCACCTTCCCATGCTCTGCAAACGCCAGAGTCCAATAACGTCTTGAAGAACAAAAACAAATCGACGGCGTTCAAGATCAGGAAACACCAACAGCAAAGCAAATGAAGATGAAAGGGGCAGGCATTTGAGCTGGATCATTCATGCATGGAGGTGAGAACTTCCGAGGATGCTACTAGTTTTGGAAACTGCGCCGGGTTCATTTGGATTAGACTCGTCAGGGTATAGGGAAACCAAACTCTGTATTCAAAGAGGGCTGAGCATGGTTTTATTTTACACTTGAACGCAGAGCAATTACAGAGAAATTTATACAAAGTTTCCAGACCATCCTCCCGCCTTCTGTCTTTTGTATCCGCAAAAAATGTTCATTGTCATTTCCAAGTTCCAAATAATTTCCTACTCTCGAATTTCCGTCATTGTGCAACAATTTCGTATTACTTATGAATTATAAACAACAGCTTATTCCTTAGATATTAATAAACTCGAGCAAGCACCGTGCTTCTGCATAGATCACACATAGCTGGGCATGATCCAGCTTTTGTGCTTTCCATGTACTCTATACGTTTTAAATTGAGTAAACATTGAATTGAATTGAATACTGAATATTGATATCAATAATTAACAAATCTAACCTAAGCCAACACAAACGTTGTCTCCCCTGAATCTGTTCAGATCCCTAAAAAATCTGCATAATTAATGAGAAACCGATGATCTTTTCAGAACACGACTGTTAGCGGAATGCAGAATGCGGAATGCACCATTACCCTTAGTAACTAGACAGTTGCATCACTATAGAAGGCAAACTAATGATCTTTTCACCATTTGTGTTATAAACACTGGCCCTGTCCAGAACTCCAAATTAGGGTTATATTCCTGCCTTCGTTGGTTTTATAGCTAAAACAATCGAGCAACGTAAGTGGTTAGTAAATATAAAAAAAGGCACCAGATCCTGATTTTACTGTACGAATAATGGTAGGGGAGTATTAAATTCAGCTCCCAAGAAAATTAATTACAGATAAGGACTAGTGTGAAATGAATTACTGGTAAAATAAAAATGAAATTTGTTGTTAGTCCTTAGCTGTGATTAATTTTTTTGAAGGGGGGTGGATGTGATTCTCCCCAATGGTAAATTGGCAATGGAGACACCTGCTAATGAAAAGCAATGAGCTAATAAAAAAGTAATCAAAATTTACACTCTTAAACAATGCCTTGATCCCTTCAACTATGCACAGCAAACAATGTTCATATTAATGCCAGAGAAAAAGTAACCATTAAAAAAGAACATTCATCACAACCTATTGAAGTTTAATCCTTATTTAAGCCCAGTGTAATAATGAAAATCAAAGTAACTCCTATTCACTATCTCATTCACACAGCAGAAGAAACTTTGGCAGTAATCTTACCCTCTTGATTCAAAGCCCCACCACCTTGTTGTCTACCATCAATTCCAGCTGTTGCCACCTGGTATGGTGGCACCACCCCACCTGATGGCGGTGCTGATGCCGCGGCTGCATAGTAGACCTGCCTGCCAGCATTATCGTAGGCCACCTGGGCATATCCAGGTTCAGACACCCCAACCTTCGGCTGCTGTACAATTCCAGAAGTGTCATTGTAAGCCCCGACTTTGGGTTGAGTATGTGAAAGAGACGACGGAGGTGCTGCATTGTACATCTCGGCTGGGACCATTCTTGGGACTCCACCATAGTAAGGCTGACCTACTGGTCCAGTCACAGGTCGTAAAGTAGTTGCATGGTACATTGCAGCCGGTGTTGGGATGAGATACACCGGCTGTTGCTGATCAGTTCCTGTTGCAGAAACCCCCAGTGGATAAGCAGCACTTGTCATATGTCTTTCAGGCAAAAACGCTGCCGACGCTGACACAGGAACCGGAACTGGACCTGTATGAGCATGCAATGGCGCCGGAGGCGGCGCCACTTTCTCGGGATTTTTCTGAGGGAAATAGTCCACAGTATAAACTCTACCATTACCTTCATCACTTTTCCGCTGTAGGAGTTGGTCATTGTTCACAATGTGTAGTCTCTGCAAATCCTGGATCTGTCTTTGGATCTCGGCAGGCGAGAGCAATGGTTCTCCAACCGCGTGCCGATCCTCCGACACACATTCTGATCCCGCTGACAAATCCTTCACCCCTGCATCCGGAGCAGTTGGAACAGGAACAGAATCAGGCAATTTCGTTGCTGGAACCCCCGGGTAAGCCTTATCCAACCCAAACAGAAAATCCGGGTTTGTAGCCGAGACCGGAGCTGGCGGTGAGGAACCGTCCACCTGCTGAATCTGCACAGAATTGAGAGCATCCACGAACCACTGCCGCTCCGATTTCAATTCGGACGACCCGAAACTGGCCGGAGCCGATGGAGCCAGCGGAAAAAGGAACAACCTCAGCCTAGCGGGCTTCGCGGAGGCACGGTACAAGCGGTCATACTCAACCATCATGTGCTCTAGATCCTCATCGTTGGTGACGGAAATCAAAGCATCGAGATCCTCCCCGGGAAGTTGGTACTTGAAAAAAACGTCGGCGTCGCAGAGGGAAGAGAGCTTCGCCACGAGAGCGGAGAACTTGATGTTGCGATCAACGGCTAAGATCTTGGTATCCCCGCCGATGTAAGCAAGCTGATTATCGTGAGGCCTGGGTTGGATTTTTCCGCCATAACTGCACATAAACTTGACTTTGTAATTGGTGGCGGAATTATTGTTAAGCTCATCCCAAGAGGGGTTCTCGCTGTCGATTTCGCGAGACCTGGGGGAAGAATCGCGTGAATCGGGGTAGGAAGAATAGGAATAGTTCTCCATGGAGGGGTTGGAGAAAGTGTGTCGGGGAATTAGGGGTTGATAGAAAGGGAGGTGAAGGCCATGGCAGGACTTCGGAGGGTTTGTGTAGAGTGAAAAAACGGCGTGACGGCACACCGGATCTTTTATGGGACGTGGGGCAGGGGATTTCCCTAAACTGACGCGGAGCTCTCTCGATATGCGGGTCCCACCTCTTGGCTTGTTCTGCTTCACCACAACATTAAGGCGCATCTGGTAGCTTAGAATCATAAAAAATAAAAAAATAAAATTGAACACGAAATGTTAACATATACATTTAGCATGTAATAATTATAATTTTTTAAAATTTAAATTTAAGGAAATTTAATAAAATCCAATTCCATCACATGCATCATGAAATCCGATTCCGTGATTTTTCTTCTCCAGTTTGCCCCTTCTCCCTCCTCCAATATAATTTTTTTTAATTTTAAAAACGACACTTTAGTCTTTTCTCATTTTAAGTACTTATATTTTATTAAAATTATATCAAGATTTTATCATCATACCAAACACACTTTTAAATCCAATTTTATTTCAATTTCAATTTTAATTCCGATTCCGATTCTGATTCTGATTTTGATTCCATTAAAAATTCTTCCATCATACCAAACATGACCTAAAATTTCTCTTCACTGAATGTAGGGCCTTTAGACCTTGTTTGGTTGGGACCTCCCTGCGTCTCACCAAACAAGAAAAGAGGAGTTGGATGGGATAAGAAAATGAGAGGGGCTCCTTTCTTTTTGTTTGAAAAATTTTTTTAAATTTTTTTTCCAAAACCTCCCCCTTCAATTTGGGAGATGCCTCCCCCCTCTTTTCCTCTTCTCTCCTCCCCTCCTCCTCCCTCTTCCTTCCCTTCTCTTCACTCACCTCCATTTTCCTTCCTTCTCTTGAACCATACAAGGTTTTAAGTGGCTTTATAATTGTAAATTGAAAAAAAAAAACGAAAACAAAAATGCAATGAGCCTTTTTATTTAGAGAGGTTGGGGGGAGTGAGAGAGGAGGCGTCTACATTCCAATTTCCGTAAGGAGCATTAGGAGTTTTTTTTTTTTTTTTTGAGAAATTGGGAAGAAGGATGTCATCACTAAATTAATTGGAGAAACTGGCTAATTCAAAATCTACAATTTTTCTATTACAATCTGCAGTTCATCTTTAATAATTCTGCACTTTTTTTCTTATTCCACAATTTTGGTTATTGTCTCCAATTAATTCAGTGATTAGGTCGTTTTCCTCCAATTTTTCCCTGTTTTATTATGTCAAATGAGGAGCGTTTAATTTAGCATCACATTATTAAATCATTAATAGCAGAAGAACGTTCTTTTTTAAAATAAATAAACAATTTACTGGAACAGAAAACTCGCAGGCTCTGCCTCTCCTTGGGCCCGTGATCAAAACATATACTAATCCTCGTTTTAATGTTTACTTATTATAAGCCCTCCAATTTCATTTAAAAATCATATTTTAAAATATTTATTTAATTTTATTTATAAGTTACGGTAAATGTAAATAATTAAATTAATAATTAAAATAAATTTTTAAAAATTAGACGTTTTATTATCTCAGTATATTACATATTTAACATTTATTTATTCGGGGGGCAGTACGAGTAACATATTGCATCACCTGTTACGGAGACTGTCGTGCCATGGCACCACGTCATATTCATCATGTGCGATGTCTAAGTCAGTGAAAAATTAAATGGAACCTAATGGCTTCAGATAGTGATAGCACCCCTTCTTAAATCTGCATGCAAGTGTGTGTATGTGTATATATACCCAAAATGAACAAAGGGTAAAATTCGTGATTGGCTTTAAGCTTGGTGAATGGTGGCCTCCAGCTGCACTGTTTGCATGTCATATGGAGATTAGAATCCAAAATAGAGCTGGTGACATGAGTACGATCACATGATTGTGGTCAAGTAATAGTTAACGCACTACTAATCTATCCAGTTGATATTACAGGTTAGATTGGGATTCTCAGCATCGAAATGCTTTGGTTCTTCCAAGTCTTTGTAAAAAATAAAAAACAAAAGAAAAGAAAAGGACCCAACCTATTTATTTAAACTTTTTTTGGTGGGAGGAGAGGGGAAGAAGGAAGAATCCATTCCAATCCTCCCAATTTAAAAGCTAAGGGAGGATTTGGAGAGGGAGGGGAGGGAAAGTTTTGTTGGTATTTTCTCTCCCTTTTCTCCCTCCCCCTCTTCAACCAGTCTTCGACCAAATAGGGGTGCAGTTTAGATTGGGATTTTTAGTATCAAAATACGTTTTGATTTGATCCTTGCAAGTCTTGAAAAAATATATTTGGGCTATTTGTTTAGTTTTTTTATTTTTAAAATTTTCAATTATCTTAGAAAGGGAAACAATTATCATCACATCCGTAAAAAAATAAAAAGAAAAAACAATTCTTATCGAATATAAATTAGACTAACTCCATAAACGTATTTACCTTCATTGTATATTTTACATGCGTGAAATATTTCAATAACAAAAAAAAAAGAATAAATAAGTGAACTATTCACACGTAAAAAATAAAAAAAAAACCTTAGAGGACATTGTTTATAAGATACAATAAATGCATGAGCATGCGAGAAGGTTTCATCGAGTGCTTACCATGGCTTTAGATTTTGACTAGAGTGACAGCACTTGCTAATTTGATCAGCGAGGCATTTATGTCTGGTCTCTTAAAGTTTTATCATACATTGTGATAGTGGAAGGCTTAAATTAAAACAAACAAACAAATGTTGTGCAGGCTTCTGGACTAGTTAATCTAGTTCGTTTCGATCAAATTTCAGAAAATGATCAAAATGAAAAAAAAAAAAATAGAGCTTTGAAGTTTCAACCCATGTAAGCCAAGTTCTTTCATTCCCAACTCTATTGATATATATATATATATATATATATAAAAGTTAAAGTATATTTTTTATAATCTAATTTTATATAAAATTTTATTTTAATTCCTTAATTTTATAAAATATATTTTAAATTTTTTTAATTTTAACACTATTAATTTTAAATAATTTTTTACATTGAACATTATTATTTAAAAAATATTAAATTTAATAGTCAACATTTAAAAGTATTTTATTAATATTTAAAATTTAATATAATTTTTTTATAATGAAACTAATAATATTAAGATTAAAAGATTAAAAATATATTTTTTAAAATTAAAGAAATCAAAATAAAATTTTATGTAAAGTTAAAGTATTAAAAACATATTTTAACTTTATATATATGTGTGTGGTCACATGTTTGACCTAAAAATTTATCGATACCCGCGCGTGCGCATATGATAGAATTTATGCTTAATATAAGATATATTTAAAATTATACTAGTGTTTTTTCCAATCTTCTAGTTTCATTTGACGGTAAAAATAAAAAATAAAAAAAATCTCCCAGCTGCATTCAAAGCGCGTTCCATTCAGGTTAAAAAGTGATGATAATTAACCGCGAGTAAAAAAACCAACACCAATTCCCTATAATCTGTATTTTATTCTGCCTTGATTATATATAGATATATATAACTAAAATGTAAAACCACCGGTTATTAGTGCATTTTTTATTTTTATGTCGTATTTATACCGACATGAAATAGAAAAATATAGATTAAAAAAAACTGTTCACCGATGAGGATCACAAGTCCGTAAGTACTCAACCGCAAGCAAGGGAAAACAATATTTCCATTGGTTTCGGTCAAACCAGCGGCGGAGACACTGCTCTGGGCCGTCGTTTATTCGCTCGTCCTCGGGAATTAAATTTGTCGTCTTGCCATCTTCTGCGGTAAAAAAATAGAGAAGTAATTATTAATTATTAATTGTTCTTCGTGCCACTGAAATAGTGATTTATCTTTTTCAGAGAGAAGCTGGTGGAGGCCGAGCAATTATCAGTTATCACCATCAGATCTTGGTGATGAGTAACGGCTTCCAGAGATAGTGAATAGTGATTGGCGAAGGATCTTCCTCTCTGCCTGTTTACAATAAATTGGCGTTGACTCGTTGATTTCGCTCCATTTTAACGAATGAATGATCCATCGATCAAAATTCAAATCCCTTAATCTCGGCGACATGCAAATTTAGCAACACTCTTGGTCCCAAAGCTTGGGGGCGATTGACTACGTTTTTGGCTTTAATTTCGTCATAAAAATGCCACTTTTAAATATCTTGCCCGGCGCTCCTAGCCGGGTCCGGATTGTGTCCAGGGATTCCTCTCCCGGACGCCTCGTGTACTATGTACAAGAGTTACATGTTGTAATACTCACGTCATGTAGACTCAAACTTTGTTGTTTTTTTTTATTTTGTTTGGTGGACCCTTGACCCTCGTAGAAGGTTTGAATAGAATTGAGGCATTCCAGAGGCCTGGGAGCCCAAGTGGGAATCCAGCAGCCCTGTCATGTCACAAATGCTCATAGGGAGTTTAATACATGTTTGGATTGAGTCCTCCTAACTTATATTAGAATGAACCAAACTTAAGTTAAAATCTTAAAAGCTAAGTTTATCCTGTTTGAATAGGAAAAAAAAAAATCAATCATAACTAGGTCCAAACTAGCATTTTTAACAAAGCTCATCTATCAAGCTTTTTTATCAATGTTGGTATCTTCTCTGTCATCGCTATCACGTACGCTGGAAGATGAGGCATCTAGTGAAAGTAATGAAATGGAAATAGGAAGGAAATGTGGCAATACAGTGGGTCCTGCCATTTTTTTCACTTCTTCTTTTTCTTTAATTTTCTTTTTTTAATATATAATTCCTACATAATTTTAAAAATAATATATCATGATTTCATAACTAATTAAATCATCTTTTTATAATTTTTTATCATTTCTTAATGGTTTCATAAAATGAAAATGAGTAAACTTCACTTGTAAACATAACTCTCAATATTTAGACAATTAAAAATCTTTTTTAGTGGGAAAACAAATTATTTTCTTAATCCTACTTAACCTTATTATTATTACTATTACTATTACTATTTTTATTGTTACAATTATTTTTAAACAAACATTATGACTAGGTACTGTATATTTAAAACTTAACTCATTTTAGTAAATTCTCTTTCAAATAATTATTTGATAAATTTCAATTATCATAAAACAATTCCATGAG